ATGTTCCCGGAAGCCTCTCCAGGAACATGATTTCCGGGTTCCGAGGACGCCCAAGAGGCCCACATGACAGCCTCAGCGAGGCCCAATAGGGCCCCAAGAGGGCCCGAGATGGCTTGAAGATGGCCGAAAAGGGCCCCAAGAGGGCCTTCAAGAGGTACAAATCTGCCCATTCCCTTCGTAAGACGTGCGTTTTCAGCATACTCGCTTGCTTCGTCTCCACAGTGCCCCAGACGCCCCCGAGGAGCCCCAACACAGCCCAAGAGAGACCCAAGAGGGCCCAAGACGGCCCGAAAGGGTCGTCTTGTGGGTCTCACGAAACCCCCCAAGACGGCCCAAGAGGCCCCGAAGCCGGCCCAGGAGGCCCCCAAGACGGCCTCAGGGAGGCCCAAGCGAGCCTCGTTCAACATCGTGTTCCCCGAAGCCTCTCCGGGACCATGACTTCTGGGCTCCCAGGACGCCCGAGAGGCCCACAAGACAGCCTCAGCGAGGCCCCAGAGGGCCCCCGAAGAGGGCCCCAAGAGGGCCTTCAAGAGGCACAAATCAGCCCGCTCCCATAGTACAACGTACATTTTCAGCATACTCGCTTGCTTCGTCTTCACAGTGCCCCAGACGCGTTTGAGGAGCCCCAAGACAGCCCAAGAGAGACCCAAGAGGGCCCAAGACGGCCCAAAAGGGTCGTTCTGTGTGGCTCACGGAACCTCCCAAGACTGCCCAAGAGGCCCCAAAGCCTGCCCAGGAGGCCCCCAAGACGGCCTCAGGGAGGCCCAAGAAGGCCTCGTTCGAAATCATGTTCCCGGAAGCCTCTCCGGGAACATGATTTCCGGGTTCCGAGGACGCCCAAAGACAGCCCCCAGAGGCCCCAGACACGCCGAAGATGGCTTCAGGACGGCCGACGACGCCGCCAAAACGCCCCAAGAGCGCCTCCACTCCAGAGGCCCCTCCAAAGGGCCCCGGAAGCTGAAAATCAGTGTTTTCCTATGGTTTTTGAAGCATTCTTGCGCTCTCCCATGTTCCGCCTCCCCACGGTCCGGGACCGCGTCAGAGGCCCTTCAGATCGCTCCAAGACGGCCGAAGAGGCTCCCAAGAAAGCCCAGAGACGGCCCAGGAGGCTCCCCAGATAAGTCAAGAGGGCCTCGAGAGCGCCCCAAGAGAGCCCCAAGAGCGACCCAAGAGGGCCCGAAGAGCGCGACATTTCAAGGTCTCCGGCCTGAGAGGCTCCTAGGACGCCCCCGGAGGCCATCAAGAGGCTCCCAAGAAGCCCCGTGAGGCTCCCAAGAGGCCCCCCGGAAGCCCCAATAGGCCCCCAAGGGGCCCCCAGGGAAGCCCCCTGCGGGCCCCCAAGACACTTCGGTAAATCGTATTTCCCAGATAGCTTTCCGGGAACATGATTCCTTGGGCTTCCGCCCACCGCCCCAACCATGTTTCCAATAGGCTTGCCGACAAGGCCAAAAGGCGCCCCTCGGTAAGCCCCCAGAGGCCCCCCTCTTAGAGAGCCGAACAAATCATGCTCCCGGAAAGCTTCCCGGGAACATGATTCTCTATCTCGGAGTAGGCCCGGGGGGGGGAGGGGGCGGGCCGCTGCCTGTTCCCCCCATCGGTGCCCACCGGGGGTTGCGGGGGGGGTCCAGAGCTCCCGAGGCGGCCCGAGCCCGCCCCGAAGCAGGCCACGACAGGCTAAGGAGGTCCCGAGAGGGCCCAAGACGGTCCCACGAGGCCCCGAAGACGCCCGAGATGCCTTCAAGACAGCCGACGAGGACTCCAACACGCTCCAGTACGGACTCAAGAGGCTTCAAGATGCTCCCCAAGAGGGCCCCCTGGAAGGCAAGATTCGCTCGTTTTCCGAGTGTTTGGGATTTTGGTGTTCTCGCTTTCCCCGCTTTCCAGCGCTCCCTCACCGCCTCCGAGGCCCTTCAGATCGCTCCAAGAAGGCCCACGAGGCCCTGACGAGGGCCCCAAGACTGCCCAGGAGGCTTCCCAGACAACCCAACTGTGCCCCAAGAGCGCGACAAGAGAAGGCCCAGAGGGGTCCCGAGGCGGCCCGGGCCCGCCCCGAAGCAGGCCACGACAGGCTAATGGAGGTCCCGAGAGGGCCCTATACAGTCCCAAGAGGCCCCGAAGACGCCCAAGATGCCCTCAAGACGGCCGACGAGGACGAGGACTCCAACACGCTCCAGGACGCTCCCCAAGAGGGCCCTGGGAGACAAGAGTCACTAATTTTCGGATGGTTTGGGAAGAATTTAGGCGTTCTCGCTTCCCCCGCTTCCCAGCGCTCCCTCACGGCCTCCCTCGGAGGCCCTTCAGATCGCCCCAAAGCGGGCCACGAGGCCCGGAAGAGGGCTCCAAGACGGCCCAGGAGGCTCCCCAGACAACCCAATTGTGCCCCAAGAGCTCCCCAAGAGAGGGCCCACAGGGGGACCGCCAACCGATATTTCGATGTCTCTGGTCCTAGAGGGAGGCCGCCTGTAGGCCCCCGGAGGCCACCAAGAGGCTCCCACGACGCCCCGTGAGGCGCTCAAGAGGCCCCCAGGAAGCCCCAAGAGACCCCAAGGGGCTCCCAGGGAACGCCCAGAGGCCCCCCAACACACCCCAAGAAATCATGTCCCCAGCAAACCTTCCGTGGACATGGTTCATCATGGGCCAGAGAGTTCACGGAGGCCCCTAAGGGGCCCCCAGGGAACGCCAATGAGACCCCCCAACACACCCCAACAAACCATGTCCCCAGAAAGCCTTCCAGGGACATGGTTCATGATGGGCCCGCGAGTCTCCAGAGGCTTCGAAGTACCATCATGCTACAGGAGAGCTGTCTGGGAAGTTGATTGGGAACATGAGTGATCGCCTTCTCGCGGCCCTCCGCAGATCGTTTCGCACAAAGTTGCCCCAAGTGCCCTCTTGAACCGACGACGACGACGAATCGACGACGACGACGCCGACGCCGACGACGACGACGACGACGACGACGACGACGACGACGACGACGGCGCGGCCCAATAGGCGACGACGACATTACGACGACGACGACGACGACGGCACGCCCCAACAGGCTCCCCAAGACGCCCCCAAACCCATGCTCCCAGAAGGCCTTCTGGGAACCCGATTCATACGGCCTCCGCCCCGTGAAGCATTGAACTAAGGTCTGGGGCCTGCTAGAACCTGAGCGCGCGCGAAGCGCGCGCGATGGTTCTAGTATATGTCAAAGCGGGGGCACAAGGCCTGACTGAGGTCTCTCGCGAACCCCCGCTTTGACATGGGCCGAGTTTTTGATTTAGAGTAGACCTGGAAGCATGGTGCTCCCTTGGCCCGTCAATCCGAGGCCCTGGTCCCCTCTCCTGAGAACCCTGCTGCTGCCCGTGCCCTGCTCGAGGGACTCCTTGGGGGCCGAAGTCGGAACGGAGCCCTGGAGGGCAGGAGGCAACTTTCTGCTTGAATTACCTGTGCATGAGCAAAGGCCAGCCTTCACTCCTGTCTTGCACCGCGTTTCGAGGGTATGCGACCATCTCGTCAAGAGTGTGCCCATGAGTTGTGCCCGGGATCAGGTCACGCGTGTGTAGAAGTTGCTAAGAAGAGCTCTAGCAGCTTCCGTATGTTCAAGCATCCCAACAGGCCGAAGAAGTCTTAGGAGCGGCAGGGCCGTTGGCCTTTCAGGTTGTCGGTCCTCGTTTCCTGGCTGCGCGTTCTGGTGTTCAGGCTTCGGGATCCCAGGCTCCGAGAAGACCTCAGGTTTTGTTGGCTGCTGCGAGACCCTGTCTTTCTGATTGCCTCCAGGCTTTCGGTCTGGGCGAAGATGAAGCCCGTGAGGTTGGAGAAGCGTTTCGTGCAAAGATCGATCCTCCTGCGGAGGATGGCGACATTTGCCCCCAGAGGGGTCCTGTCGCTGGCCCGCGGGTGGCCAACCATAGCCATCCGCGGTGACGAGGAGGTCTTCTCTGATGGACCCCCCCTGGGCTTGTGGCGACTCCCTCCCCTCCCCTCCCCTCCCCTCCCCTCCCCTCCTCCCCTCCCCTCCCCTCCCTCCCCCTCCCCTCCCCCCTTCCTCCCCCTCCCTCCCCTCCCCCTCCCCCTCCCCTCCTCCCCTCCCCTCCTCTCACTCCCTCCCCTCCCCTCCCCTCCTCTCACTGGCGTGCAATCCTCCACCCTCCCATCCGCTTTCCTCCGTTCGTCTCCCTTTCCTGCCGGCGAAGCCGGGCGGCGCGCCGGAAGCGGCGGCGGCCGATTTTGTCGGTCCTGTCAGAGGCGACGATAGGGGCGAACAGCCCAGGGGAGAGCAATACGCGTATCCAGGGGCGCCGATGCTCCAGGTCTTCGAAAAGGCTCCTGGGCGAATGCGTGTAATGCCCGCCCCTGGGCTATTCGCCCTCGTCGTCGCCGCCGATCCCCGGAGGCGCGGCCGAGGTGCGCCCCCCGAGGGGGGGGGGGGCGAGCGGTGAGCGCAGCGCGGGCTGGAGGCGGCCAGGAGGCGGAGAGCGGCAGGGCGGCGCAGAGCCGCAGCGGCGGCCTCTGGGCGCGGCGGTCAGCCGTCTCCTCCTCTGCCCCCTCCTGCTCCTCTCTGTCCTCCTCCCTCCCCCCCTTCCCCATCGTCCCCCCCCCCCCTCCTCCCCAATTGGTTCCAGCTCCTGCTCCACCTTTTCCCTCCTTCTCTTCCACCTCCTCCCCGTGCCTTCCCCTTTTGCTGCTCCTCCTCTCTTTTCCCCTCAACCTGTTTCCCTCGCGCCCCTCCCTCCCTCCCCCTTTCCCCCTCCCCGCGGTCTCCTCCTCTCCCTTTCTCTTTCGTTCCCTCATCCTCCTCCCCCCCCCTCCTCCTCCCCCCCATCTGGTCGGACCGAGGTGTAAGACTGGCGGCTCGGGGAGGGTACCTTAGTGTTCATCGTGTTTGCTAGATGCTATTTTGCATTCCCTCGAGTGCTCATCAGTCTGGCCGGCGGAGGGTCCCAATCTCGTGAAGCATGCTCTCCTGTCCTTGGTCCGGCCGTGCTTCCTCCGCCCCCCCCGGGCCGCGACCCGAGGTGCAGCGCCGCGGACGCTCTGAGCACGCTGAGCCCAGCTGCCCCCAGCGTCGGTCTCTTCTCCCGCCCCTCCCAGGGAGGAGCTTCGGGTAACCGCCAGGGAGGCGTCGATCCCCTGACATCGGACCGACGCACTTGTTCAATCCTTTGTTTGCCACGGGGTGCACGGGTTACTCGAGAGATCTTGCCGTCGCCCCCCTCCTCCCTCCCCCCAACAAAAAACACAAAATGATTCCAAGAACTGGGTTTGACTATTTTTGTTGGGAGGGGGGGGGTCGGGGGCGCTCTCCGGCGCAAGGGCCATCCCCAGAATCGGCGGCGAGCGAGGGGGGGAAGTGAGAAGGAGATGGCCTTCTCAGAAGGCGGCGGGGCTTCTCAGAAGCCCTCGCGCCTTCTGAGAGGTTTTCTGGACTTCTGAGCCGTCTGCGAAGGCCTTGTCCTTCTCACCTCCCCCCCTGGACTCGCCGCCGACAGAAGACACTCGGCGAGGGCAGCCCTCACCGAGTCCGCCAGAGGATTCCAGACGGAGGAGCATTCCCAAGGGCTCCAGAGGATCGCCAGAGGATTCCAGGAGAAGGGGGAAGAAGGAGGAGAAGGAAGGATTCCAACTGATTCCAGAGGTGAGCGTTTTTCTCTCCCCAGGGTAAGGCTCGTTACCCGGGCCAAGCCCACGTCCTCCCCGGGTGACGTTAACGATCGTCCTGGGGAGGCGGGGGGGCCTGGTCATTCCCCCCTACATGCCGAGCTGCATGCAGGCGATTGGTGCGCCGTTGGCGCGGACTCACCTTGGCAGATGCACGCCGCGGCCGCTGTTACTGTTAGCCTCCCGCCCGCCCCCCCCCACGCCCCTTGCGTAACGGCCGTTACCCGGGAAAGAGCAAAACATTGTCACGAGGAGGAGCCAGGGCTCCAGAGCGTTCTGGAAGGCTCTGAGAGCGTTTTGGAGCGCTCCTGAACGGCCGCGGCGCTGGGTACCTCCAGATCGGCCGGCTCTCAGAGATCCTCCTATGTATCCTTTTCCCATGTTGTCCTTTTCTTGCATCCGCCTTGGTCGACGAGACAGGGCCCCAGAACCCAGGACATTGTAAATCAGGACTTTGTACATCGTGCGCAGAGCAAACGAATAATTAATGGAGATGCTTCGACCCAAGACTGCGGGTGTGTTGGGTGCTCCAATGTCCTGGTTTATCGAAGCGTCCGTTTACGGTTTCAAGAAGGAGGAGGACCCGCCCGTATGATGAAGAGTTTTGTGTTTTTTGGTGCACCGCTGCTGCCAGCTTCGACTGAGCTTGGCGGCATCGAGATTCGATCCACATAACGGAGGAGGCGGGAGGAGAGTGGAATGTTGCCTCACTAGGCCAGGTCGCCTCGTTCACCTGCAAAGTTTACAAACGAATGCACAAGACCTTGTCAGCACACGGTCCATGTGCCAACGCGGTTGTGGAACGAGGCTCCGCGACCTGGCTTATGCCGCCAGAAGTCGATTGGGGAACGAATGCGCTTGATTGATGATACTCATACGGCACCCGCGTTCAGAGATGCCCTCCGTGGGGTCGACTGCTGAAGAAAATAGCAAAGACCAGCCCTGGAGGCTTCCAAAGACCCGCCCCTGGAGGCCCACTGAGACCTCCAGAGGCCTCCAGCCCTCCTCCCCCCCCGACACCGCCCTCGATGGCCGCCTTCCCGAGTGAGCGTCGGGAGACCGCTTGGACGGTCTCGGGACAAGGGAGGCGGACGGCTAGGAGGCGAGGGGGTGCAGGAGGAGGGGGAGGAGCAGGAGGAGGCAACAGGAGGGCGTGCTTACCATGACGTCAGGCCCCAGGGTGGCCCTGGCTGGGCGTGGTAGTAGCGGTGTGTACGTACTGGCGCGGCGGCGACCCTTGCTCGGGCGTTCAAGTTTGAACTCCGCCGTTGGCCCAGACTCGGTCGACGTCGCACGATCCGCACTATCGGTGTCAGGATACAAGGCGCGAGTCGTGACGACAGGAGCCTGTCGTACGTCTGTGCCTTCGCTAATGACGGCCGGCCTGGGAGTGCCCGCACCTCCTCCCTCCCTTCCTCGCTCTCCTCGTGGTCCTCGCGCGGGGGCAGCTCCAGCGACAGCCTTGGCTCGGCGTGAGGCGCTGTGGGCGGGCGCCGTGTGCGCGCTGGTTGGGCGTGCCTCCCCCTGGCCGTTGTCCCGGGACTATACTGCGCTCCACGAGGGGCAGGATGAGGAGAGTGACTATGAAGGAGAAAAGTAGGAAGGAAGGAAGAAGAGAAGGACGTGGATGCGGAGAGGAAGAGGAGGAGGAGGAGGAGGAGGAGAAGGAGGAGGAAGAGGATCAGGAGGAGGGGGAGGGGGAGGGGAGGGGAGGGAGGAGGAGGATGAGCCAGACACAACCACCCCCGTGATCCAATGCCCGCCCACAGTTACAAGGGGCGACGGAGAAGGGGAGATGGAGGAGGAGGGGGAGGAGGAGGAGGAGGAGGAGGAGGAGGAGGAGGAGGAGGAGGAGGAGGACCTGTGTAAACCCAAGACTCAAACGATGTTAGAATAATCCCTCTCTCCAAGTTCTCTCTTCATGGGCCCCTATAGGGATTCAGTCCACAGGGGGAAGAGTCCCGTTGGGAACCAGCCGTTTGAAGATCCTCGCTGCCTTCTCAGAAGGCTTTCTCCTTCTGGCTTCCCCCCTCGCTCGCCGCCGATGTCCGTCCTCCGCCCTCCGCCTTCCCCTGGTCCTCCTGTTCCTCCTGCTGCTACTGCTCCTCTTCTTCCTTCCTTTCTCATCCTGCTCATCCGCCGCCTCTTCCTACTTCCCGCCCCATGTACACAGGCTCCCTTTCTGATTACATGCGCATCACACGATAGGGGTCATTTGGGGGATCTGGGTCATCTGGGACACCCCCATCTGGACACATCAAGGCCATCCAGGAACACACTTTGCTTAGGCATATGCCACGTGGACTGGCGGCCATGTAACCCCCTGGCAAGTATTCCCCATCTTCTTCAGTTTGCAGCAAACGTTAGGGCAACCCAGGCAAGCGCCATTTGGGCATCGCTGTCCTCAACAACACACTTCTCGGTGGATACGAGAGAAGCGCAATGGGAAGCGATGTGTGGACTGGGTGTGAGATCAGATATGAATTGAGCGCGCCTGTCTTGCTCCCTCGATCCCGCCCTCCCTCTCTCCCTCCCCTCTTTCCTTCCCTCCTTTTCTTCCGCCTCCGCTTCCTCCTTCCTACCCCCCTCGCTTTCTTACCATTACTGCCGTCTTTCCTCCTCTCTCTACCCGTTTCTAGACTGCAGTAACCATTCCCCCCTTCGGATCCAGACGAAGGGACAACGACAGAGGAGTTACGGAAAGTAGTGGGCTAGACGCTTCGTGTAACCCCACCAGCCCACCGAGTTGCCCTGACCAGGGATGTGGAGGAGCATGGAGTGAAATCAAGGGATTGGGAAGTCGTCACACTCTTAGCGGGGGAGGATGGGAGGACGAGGAGGAGGAGGAGCAGGAGGAGGAGGAGGAGCAGGAGGATGGGGGAGGGGGATGGGGGAGGAGGGAGGACAAGCTAGGTGCGCTCGCGTCATATCTGACATCCTACCCCTCCCTCCCATCCCTTACCATGGCGCAGATCCCCTCTCTAATCTCTACTCGCACAGTCGGATGTCGAGCAGGGCAATGATCCCGAAAGGGTACGGGGTGCATTGTAGAGCACGGCATGGCATGGCGTAGAAGAGCACCGCAAAGCGTAGTATCAACCTAGCATTGCATTGCATGCCGTGGCATGGCACGGGAAATGACGCCAGCGCTGCAGCGGGAGCACGAGTCGAAACGAGCGGAAGCGCGGAAATGAGGCCAGCGCTGCAGCGGGAGCACGATTCGGAACGAGCGGAAGCACGGAAATGAGGCCAGCGCTGCAGCGGGAGCACGATTCGGAACGAGCGGGGCCCGAAAATGAGGCCGGCGCCTCAGCGAGAGCAGCATTTTGGGAAACAAATGCAAGCGCAAACTCAACTCCGGGGAAACTTGTGTAAAAAACAGTACGCGGGGGGGGGGGTCAGACACTCCCAGGCCGTCATCAGGGGAAGAGGGAGAGTAGCATTCATATTGAGTAATTGTGGAGGAGGGCTAGGCGGATGAGAACGAGGAGGTGGAGGAGGAGGAGGAGGAGGAGGAGGAGGAGGAGGAGGAGGGTGAGCAGACAGGTCAGAGGCCTCTTGGATGCCTCCCGGAGTCTCTTCGGATGCCTCTTGAAAGTTTCCTGGAGTCCTCTTGGGGTGTTTGGGGGGACTCTTTTAGCGGACCCAAAGGGGCTCTTGGTGCGTGTTGGTTGGGTGCCTCGGGTGAGCCTCTTGGGGCCCCTTTGAGGCCTCTTGGGTTTTGATGGGGGCATCACGGGCGCCTCTCGGGGACCTTTTGGGGCATTTGGGGGACCTTAGGGGGCCATTTTGGGGTCATCTTGGAGGAGTTCGATCAACGAAGGGGGGGTACTTGATCTTGATCAGCGTCCCTCCCAGGAGGCCAACATTGGCCCAACATCTTAGGACATCAACTGATTTGTGCCTTCTCGCTGAGGCCTTCTTGGGCGCTCCTACCACCCGTGACCCCCCCCAGTTCCAGAGGGGGACGGGGTAGGGGGAGGGGTCAAGACTCCCTCCCCGCCCGCAAGCCGTCTCGCTCACCCCCACCCGCCCTCTCAACACATACGTAGCACCCGCGTCTGGCCCGAGCCTCCGCATATTCAGCAGTCGTCTTTGGATGGGCAGCTACTGGGGGCCAATCCGCCGCCGCCGCCGCCGCCTCCGCCGCCGCCGCCACCGCCGCCGCTGCCCGCCGCCGCCGCCGCCGCGCCGCCGCCGCCGCAGCCGCCGCCGCCGCAGCCGCCGCCGCAGCCGCCGCCGCCGCCGCCAAGTATACTCTGTATTGCTTTTTGACAGGGATGGTGGGGGGAGGCCGCATCGGGTTGGCTGCGCATGTTCCGAATGTGGAGGCAGAGTTTGTTTTGCATGGTATTTTACAAGGGATGGTGGGGGGGTCTCATGGTTTGTAGTTGGCGACCAGTCGCCTGGGGAAGGGGGTGTTTCTGAATAGGGAGCAGTGATCAAGACACCCTCCTGGATAGCAAGCCTTCTAGCTCACCCCCGCCCGCCCTCCCAACACATAAGTAACGCCCGAGCCTCAGCATGGTCAGCGGTCGTCTTCGGATGGACAGCTACTGGGAGCCAAATGTGAGCCCATGTGCGCGACGCTGGGGCGAGGTGCGCCAGGCGCGCCACGCGCGCCAGGCACCCTTGGGGCCCGAGCGTGCCAGGCACGCCTGGCGCGCCAGATGCGCCACGTGCCTCCGCGTGCGCCAGGCGCGCCGCTTACTCTAGCCGCGCCAGGTGCGCCACGTTCGGTCTACGTGCAGTGTGTGCCAGGTGCGCCTGTGCACGTGACAGCCATATCGAGAAGCATGTTCGCCCCCACCATCCATGTCGAAAACCAGTGCCCGTCGTTATGTCTGGTGGGCCTGCGCACAGCAGGCCACACGCCACCACTTGACAGTGATCGCGGGGTGGCCGCGCATGATCCAGATTTCGCCGCGAGGTGCATGTTGGATTGTTTTAATGTCAGGGATGGTCGCCCTGCACGCAGCCGGCAATATGCTGACACCCCCGCCGCCCCTGTCAACAACCATTACGAAGTGCTCGCGGACTTCACGGGTATGACTCCAGACTGTGCCCCAAAGTGTACTTTGTATTCTTTTGTGACAGGGATGGAGGGGGCGCCTTCATGGGATCCTCATTGTTCCTGGTTGGTTGCCGGTCGCGTGGGGGAGAGCGTGTGCGTGTGTGAGAATAGGAGACAGTGATAAACCCCCTCCGAAGGGGAAGAAGGGGTTTGGAAGAGGAAGCCCGCTAAACCACTCTCGCCCTGGCTGGTGGAATTCAGGTCAGGATGGAAGGGGAGGACACCATCTATAGTGAAGGCGCGGCGCTGGGGTCATGGAGCGATCCAAGCTATCCGCATAGTTGGCGTGATGTGTAAACGTCACATCAGCACAGAGGTGTTGCCAAGCTGGCAAGACGGCCACCAACACCGCGAGAATTCTTCGGCAGTCACGGCCCGAGGTTCATACTCGCCCTGCCATGACCCTTCGCTTGCTATTAGGTGTGTCGCCCAACCAGAAGCCCCGCCCCCACCCAACACCAGACTGGCACGTGCAGCACCTGGGGCTTCTCCCGCCAGACGAAGGCCAGACAAGAATTCTCCCAGTGGTGGAAGTTGTCCTTGCGAGGCCAGGGTCGTTCTGCTTTAGAAGCGTTTCTCTGCATGCCGCACAGTCTCAAAGTTACAGGATTGCAGCGATGCGTACTGCATGCAAACTTGCCGATATTGTGCCGAGAGATTCGTTGCTTGCGGCGCCGTGCCGCACTTTTTTTGTTTAGTTCGTTTTGCAGCAAGCGTGCTCGAAGCTGCGCGAGCCTGCTCTGAGCTCGCCCGAGCGGCTGCCGTGGGGGCAGTCACTTCGCGGTGGCTCCTCATCCGTGCTGTCTTTGAGTTGCTCACACAAGCAGTGCAGCACAGCACGTTCATACACTCGACCCGCACAGTAAGGATGATCGATGTCCCATGGCTACCTTTGCATCCTTGCCTCTTCGGTCATCTTCGGTCCATCCTGAACCACTTTCGAGAGTCAGTCCCGCTCGAAGAGCCTCGGCATGGGAGCCCAAGACCCTTACATCCTGACCTCGCATCCTGACTGCATGGGTTGACTGTACACATTGTTTACATGTTGGTGCATGTGCATCGCTTGGCCCACGCTGTTACAGTTGCATGCAGTGTCGGAGCCGCGGTGGATGGCGCCCCCTCGCGAAACACCCACCAAGAGGTGTTGACCTCTCTTGGCCAGGCAAAGGGGTCGAGCCAGGGCGCACAATTGGCCGCTGACGGGCGAGGGGCCTCGATGTACGAGGTCAGCGTTTCACGACCTCCTCCTCTGCGTTTCGCAGGAGGCAGAGAGTTTTTTTCGCAGACTTGGACAGCTCGCAAAATGTCTCCGCGCTCTCTCTCTCTCTCTCTCTCTCTTCCCCTCTCTCTCTCTCCACCTCTCTCTCTCTCACTACCCCTCTCTGTCTCTCGCTCGCTCCCTACTCTACTCTTCTTGTGTACATACGTAGCACCCCGCAGTTGTGGATAAGAGTGAAGGGGCGGCGAGGACGTCGTTAGTCTGCGAGGCTCTGAAGAAGCCCGCCGCGCGCGCCTAACTTTTACAAAGCATGCAGTGAGCCCGCCGCAGGCGCTGATTTTTTTGTGAAGGCAATGTGGGTGGATCGCGAGGTGGGTCGCGGGTGGGTCGCGGGTGGGTCGCGGGCCGGGTCGCGGATGGGCCGCGAGTGGGTCGCGTATAGGTCGCGTGGGGGTCGCGGGCGGGTCACGGGGTGGATCGCGGGTGGGTCGTGGGGTGGGTCGCGGGGTGGGTCGCGGGGTGGGTCGCGGGGTGGGTCGCAGGTGAGTCGCGGGTGGGTCGCGGGCGGGTCGTGGGCGAGTCGCAGGGGGGACGACGACAGCAAACAAATAAGTAAACAAACACACAAACAATCAAACAAACAACAACAACAATGATTTTAAGACTGTTCGCCCTTATATGCTCGAGTGTCCAATAACGCGTATTTCCCAAACCCTCGATACCCGCTCTTTTCGTCTTCGATCGAACCTCTTTTGGGGGGTATACTTTTCTTCCCTGCAGGGCGGGCCCCGGCAAGCGGCGGGGCGGCCGCGGACCGTCGGCCTGGCCAGCGGCAGCGCTGATCGGCGGGTCGACCGCGGACCGTCGACCCGACCCCAAGAGGGACGGACAGGGGACCGACCACGACGACGACGACGACGACGACGACGTCGAAGACGACGGCGACGACAACGGCGACGGCGACGACGAGCGAAAGCGAGAGCGAGAGAGAACGACAGCGGGGCCACAAAGGGCACGAAGTAGGCCACGAAGGGCGACAGCGGGGACACGAAGGGAATGCGTATGGGGCCACGAAGAGCGCGAACGAGCGGGGGCCACGAAGTGCAGATAATGCGTGGCCACAGAAAGCAACTATGGGGCCACTGAGGGTAAACGAGGGGGACACAAATGGCGACAGCGGGGCCACGAAGGGCATGCACATGGGGCCACAACGGGCGCGACTCCTGGGTGCCTGGGTGTCGGGATCGCGGCGTTTGGGCAAATTGCATGAAATTCCAACGCAAGGCCATTCTCCAGTAAGTTGCAAGCAAGTCTCCAGCGAGAGCGCGACTCCAGAGCGCCGGGAGAGCGATTCCTGAATAGATTTTCAGGAAGTCCCAAGCGAGAACACGATTCTTATAAAATGCGAGGAAGTCTCGGGCGGGAGCGGGGGTCCTGGCTAAATTGCAAGGAGGTCTTATGCGGGAGCCGTTGTTGTTGTGACCCGGGGGCCAGGGGCCCAGTTTGAGCAGGAAAATTTTCCCTGTCAAAGAACAGGGTGCGAGCGTCGAGGGGCACATTTTGATTGGGAAAAACAGTATGCACCGGTGGGGGGGACCAACAATAATTGTTCTTCAGAAATGGGAATCCAACAACGCAGCAAGCAGAATCCTCACCACTGATCCCCATTTCAGCCACGCACCCAGGGACAATGAATGACAGTTCGGCCCACATATACATCAGAGCGAGGTCAGAGTGAGGCGGCCGAGCGGTCATTCATTGTCCCTGGGTGCGTGACTGAAGTGGGGATCCACGGCGAGGGTTCTGCTTGTTGTTTTGTTGCGTCGCCCGCCCCACGACCCGCCCCGCGACCCACCCGCGACCCAGCCCGCGACCAACCCGCGACTCACCTGCGACCCACCCCATGACCCGCCCCACGACCCACCCTGCGACCCACCCCACGACCCACCCGCGACCCACCCCGTGACCCGCCCGCGACCCCCACGCGACCTATACGCGACCCGCTCGCGGCCCATCCGCGACCCACCCGCGACCCACCTCGCGATCCTCCCACACTGCTTTCACCAAAAAAATCAGCGCCTGCGGCGGGCTCACTGCATGTTTTGTAAAAGTTAGGCGCCTGCGGCGGTTTTCTTCAGAGCCTCGCAGACTGACGACGTCCTCGCCGCCCCTTCACTTTTATCCGCAACTGCAGGGTGCTACCTAGATTCCCTTTGTGATCTACCCCACCCTAGTTTTTTCATTAATCGCTTCGCTCATTCCGCCGGCCCGTATTGTGCCATCGCAGGCGTTTGCTTGCGCGTTCGTGGCCTCTTGGAGCCTCGGTGGGGCCGTTTGGGGCCTCTTGGCGCCTCTTTTTAGGCCTCTTGGAGAACTCGGGAGGCCTCCAGGGGGCCTCCTGAGCTCTCGTGACGGTCTCTTGGGGGGCTTTCGGCGGGCTCTTGGCGGTATTTGTTGGTCCTCTTGGGGCCTGGGGCCTGACGTTGTTGGTCCTCTTGGGGCCTCACGGGAGCTTATTGGGGCGTCTTGGGGGTGTCTTGGAGAGTCTCTTGGGGCCTCTTTCGGGGTCCTGGGCGCCTTCTGGGGCGGAGGGCTCGATTTTTCAGTTCTCGGTTCCCTTTTTGAGCCCCTCTTGGGCCCGTCTTGGGGCCTCTTGGTCCGCCTTGGGCAGCACTTGGGCCGTCTGGGGGGCGGTCTTGGGCCGCTCCGGGGCCGTCTTGGGAGCCTCGTGGGCCGTCTTGGAGCAGTCTTGAAGGTCTCTTGGACCCTCTTGGAGCGTCCGGAAGCGAAAAGGCCAAAACGCAAAAAAACATAGAAAAAACACATGAAAATCAACGATTTTGGCAACTTGGGGCCCTCTTCGGAGGCCTCTTGGAAGGCCCTTGGAGCGTCTTGGAGGCCTCTTGGGCTGTCTTGGGGCCATCTGGGGCGTCTTCGGGCGATCTTTGGCCGTCTCGGGCCTCTCTTGGACCGTCTAGAAAGCTTCTCGGGGCCCTCTTGGACCGATCTGGAGCCCTCTTGGACTCCGAAACAGAACTCCGGCATCTCTGACCCGACCTTGCCGGGGACTTGCCGGGACCTTGCCGGGGTACTTTTCGTCCGGGGACCCCCAGGGGCCGCCCCGCGCGCGCGAACTAGAAATACTGTTAACCAGGTACCGGAGATCTTAGCACGCCTTGGCCCGTTGGGCCGGCGAATTATCTGAGCAGCGTTCGTGCTGTGAGCTGGCGCTGCTAACCAGCTGGGGTTCGATTCCTTTGTGGCGGGTCACACAAGGATTCCTATTCTGGTGGATTACAACAGCTGCCTGACAACAGAATTCCTTTAGTCTTGAGTGGCGGGTAGGGCTGGGCAAAGTAACAAAAACAACAAAAAACAACAAAACCCAAAGACCCAACCAAATCTTGCTGGCCACCCCAAAAAACAAACGAAACCTAAGTTTGGTTCGATTCCCAATTCTGAACAGAAGGATTCCTTTTGTAGTGGATTATAGAATGGATTCCTTCCGTGGTGGATTCCAAAAAGATTCCATGTGTGGCGGCTTGACAGAAGGATTCCCTTTGCGGCGGGTAAGGCAGGGAAAACTAACAAAAAACAACAAAACCAACAACACCCACGGACAAAACACACAACGAAACCTCCTTGGCCACCAAAAACCAACGAAACCGAGGCTTCGACAGCTCTTCAATTCGAAACAAAAGGACTCCTTTTGTGCCGGATTGCAAGTGTATTCCTTTTGTGGCGGATTTCAAATGTATTCCTGTTGTGGCGGCAAGACAGAAGGATTATTCATGTGGCGGGGAGAGCAGGAAAAACCAACAAAGCCAACAAACCCAATGACAAACCAACCACGCTTCCCTGGCAACCAGAAAACATCGAAACCTAGTTTCCTTAGCTTTTCCCATTCGGAATATAAGGATTCACTTTGTAATCCGCCACAACGGTAATGCTTCTGTAATCTCCGCAATAGCAGACTGCCACAAGAAATCCTTGTGTAATCCGCCACAAGCAGAATCCTTTTGTAATCCGCAACAAAAGATATTCCCTCGTAAGGCTGCCACAAAAGGAATCCTGTTGCTTCGATCGGGAAAACTAGTGAAACCTAGGTGTCGTTGTTTTTTTGGGGGACCGAGCAGGGATGTATTGTTGGTTGTTCATTGGGTTTTGTTGGTTTTTGTTGGTTTGCAAACGAATCCCATTGTAATCCGTCACAAAAAAAGAAATCCGTGTGTAGACTGCATCAAAAGACATTCAATTGTAAGGCTACCACAAAAGGAATCCTTCTTTTCCAAATGGGAAAACATAGCGAAACATACGGTTCGTGTTTTTTTGGTGGCCAGGGACGTTTTGTTGGTTTTCAGTGGGTTTTGTTACTGTTGTTGTTTTTGTTCGTTTCCCTTGCCTTTCCTACATCAAAGGGGATCATGTTGTCAGACCGCCACACGACGAGTCCTGTTTGAACTTAACAGCAAAGGGGGCATTCTTGCAACCCGCAACAAAACGCATTCCTTTCTAACGCTGCCACACTAGGAATTCTTGGTATCGAAAAACCCACGAAGTCTAGGTTTCGATGTTCTTTTGTTGACCCAGGTGCTTCTGATGGTTTTTCATGTGGTTTGTTGGTTGTATTGTTTTCGTTTGGTTTCCCCGCCTTGCCCGCCACAAAGGGAATCCGTCTGCCAGGCCGCCACAAAAGGAATGCAGTTGTAATCCGCCACGAACGGAATACGTTTGTAATCCACAACGAAAGGTATCCTTTTGTTCAGAATGGACAAACTAACGAAACTTAGGGTTTTCTTTTGTGGCCAACGCGGCCTTGTTGGTTGTTCATCGGGTTGTGTTGTTTTTGTTGGTGTTCCCTGCCTTGCCCGCCACAGGGAATTCTTCTGTCAGGCCGCTACAAAGAAAACCTCTTTGCAATCCGCCATAATAGGAATCCGTGTGAGACCCGCCACAGCGGACGCACCCCTTGAGAGGATTTTCCCGGAAAGGGCGCCGGCCCAGGGTTCTCTTTGGGATGGTAATCTGTCCCCGGTGCTTCAACTGAGGTGGGCCGGCAGATTCTTTCCTTGATAGATATCGAGGTCGAGGTGGGCCGGCGGATTAAGATTTGAGGATGTCTCAGGCGAAACGCTTGTTTTTGAAATCCCGATCGATCAATCACAGGGTGCGAGCCACTCTTTAGTGTGTTGAGGATGTCTCGAGCGAAACGCTTGCTCCGCAGAGTTACCGAGGATGTCTCGAGCGAATCGCTTGTTTTGTAGAACTTGAGGGATCTGGGCGCCCCAGAGATTTGCCTTCTCCAGGTGCACGAACCCGTGTGTTTCTACGTATGTGCTTGTAGATTCGCTCTCTCCAGGTGCACGAACACGGTGTCGTGAAAACGTTTTCATGCATGCGGTTCTATATGCGTTTCCACGACCACACCTCAGCACGATTACCCCCCCAGCACGACCACCCCCCAGCACGACCACACCCCAGCACGACCAATCCCCAGCACGACCACACCCCAGCACTACCCCACCCCAGCACGACCCCACCCCAGCAAGACCATCCCCCAGCACGACCACGCCCCAGCACGAACTCACCACAGCACGACCACACCCCACCACGACCACGCCCCAGCACGACCACGCCCCAGCACGACCACGCCCCAGCACGACCACACCCCAGCACGACTACCCCCCCAGCACGACCACCCCCTAGCACGACCACCCCACAGCACGACCACACCCCAGCACGACCACTCCCCAGCACGACCACACCGCCTTGGTTGAGTGGTTGCCTGTCGTCGTGGAATGTTTCGTGGGGTGTCTCGTGGACTGTTTCGCTGGGTGTCTCGTGGAATGTTTCCCGGAAAACGTTGAAAACGGTCGCCCGTGTCTCGTGGAATGTTTTGCGGGGTTGTCTCGTGGAAGTGCCCGTCGCCCAATACGGTGTCGTGACAACGTTTCCATGCATGCGGTTCTACATTCCTTTCCGGGTTCGTGGGTCCATCATGTTTCTTTTATGCTGTACACAAAGGGAAACATAATTATGCAAGTGTTTCGTTGATTCTGGGCGCGCGGGATGTCTGCCATGCATCAGTAAAACATAGTCTTCGATTATGTTTTCTAAGGGAACTTGGGCCACGGCGGACGCACCCTTCAAGGGTTTCCTTTCTTAATTCCCGGAAAGGGCGTGGGCCCAGGGTTCTTTTTTAGATGGTTTACCCCCCGGTTTCGACTTGAAGGGGGCCGGCCAAATTATTCTGCGTAAGTAACGAATTAAGGTGTTGGTTTTCAGTCGAAAGAGTGCGTTTCGCGCGTGCCCGCTCGAGGAAAGTGCGCCCCCCATCTCGGATCCTCGATAAAAAAACGGGGTCCGCAGACTTGCGTTTTCCCTAGTAAAAAAGAGGATGCGGAGCGTTTTTTCGCAAAATCCTCGACAAATAACGGGGTCTGGAGCCCCGACCGCGACGCGGAAAAGCGCCCCGCGCGAAGGAATTCCGAGGATGTCTCGCGCGTGCCGCGTCCCGCGCGCAGGAATTTCGAGGATGTCTCGACTAATTCGCTTGTTTTGCCAGGATTTCTTAGGATTTTGGCAGGATTTCTCGAGCGAAACGTTTTTTTAGATAGTTTGTTGAGGATGTCTCGAGGGAAACGCTGGTTTTGCAAAATTCGGGGATGTCTCGAGCGGGGGCTTCGTGGGGGGCCAGAATTCAGAGGATGTCTCAAGCGAAATGCTTGTTATCGTGTCCCGCTCGCAGGAATTCCAGGGATGTCTCGCGCGAGCCGCGTCCCGCGCGCAGAATTTTTAAGATTGTCTAAACTAATTCGTTTGTTTTGCCAGGATGTCCTTGGATTTTGACCGGATGTCTCGAGCGAAACCCTTGTTTTTTTCATAATTTGTTGAGGATGTCTCGAGCGAAACGCTGGTTTTGCAAACTTGGGGGATGTCTCGAGCGGGGGCCTCGTGGGGGGCCAGAATTCAGAGGATGTCTCAGGCGAAATGTTTGTTTTCACGTCCCGCTCGCAGGAATTCCGGGGATGTCTCGCGCGTGCCGCGTCCTGCGCGCAGGAATTTTGAGGATGTCACGTAGCGCGTCCACTTGGCACGTCCTACGGTGCGACCCCATGGCACGTCCCTTGGCACGTCGCCTGGCGCGTCCCTTGGGACGTTTCGCGGCGCGTCGTCCTGGCATGTCCCCCTGTCAATTAGCTCTGGGGCAGCTACTATGTGTTCAGGCAGCTCGAGCTTCAGATCCAGATCAGTTCGGTCACGACTCGGATGCAAAGGAAGACTCGATCCACGACGCTATAGAGCACAACCGCGGCATGGCACATCGCAATTCAGCACGGTGCAGCACAGCACAGCCCTCGGCACGGTACATCAAGATCGATACAATCAGCATTGCACTTGCCCGTCACCCAATCAGGTTTCTTTGAAAACGCTGCCATGCGTTACATTTCTATATTCCATTCCGGGTTCGTGGGTCGATCATGTTACCGCGGTGCATTTTTTGTTCATTGTCGGCGTTGCCATTTGCCATTAGAGTTGAACGGATGGAACAGTGAACACCGCCCGCGCTATGATTTTCTCTAAGGAACTCGGGCACGCCAGGTGCACCCCTTGAAGGTTCTTCTTTTACTAATGTCGTCAAAAGGAAGAAATTCTGTATATTTTATGTTGATTTCGATGCATTAGAAACGTATGTGGTGAAACACACCACCCTCGATTTCTTTGTCGCTTGACGACCTTGAGCCCCGTTGGGCGCACCCTTTGTAGTTTTCTTTTCATACTACCATCAAGAGGGAGGGGCTATGCACATTTCTCGCTGATATTGGGCGCGGCGCGTTTGCCATGAGACACGAAACGAATGAAACAACCGCCTTCGATTTTGTCCTCAAAGGACTCCCACCACTGCGTCAGAACTTCATAGGAGGGTGCATCGTGAATGGAGTACTGAAGCAGCGATAAGGTAGATCACAGGGGGGTGAACACACACACACACATATATATATATATATGTATATATATATGTATCGAACTCTCTCTCTCGCTCACTCACTCTCCCTCTCTCTCTCTCTCTCTTCATCTCCTTCCCTGTGGTACGGCTGTGGCAGGTGGTTCGCGCCGCGTCGACGCATCGGCGGTCTCAGCGCGGGCGTTTCGGCTCGACCGCCACTCGTGGCCTGGAGTCGGCCGGAGGCAGAGGAGGCGTTGGTGGCGGGACGGGTCAGCCACCAGCAAAGTGGCCAAGTCCTTCACCAACGGGAGGCGCTGACGCGGTGGCGATCCCGGCTCGGGCGTTCAAGGTTGAGTTGTGCCAGTGGTCCAGAAACGGTCGACCTGGGCCGATGTGTGCCATCGGAAAGCTGGCGCGATCGTTGCAGGTTTTACGATCCAAGCGGTTTTTTTTAGACACGAATTTGTTTTAAGTGAGTGTCTCGCAAGGGACGTGAATGAGGGATCATCGAGAGAAACGTCGGGCTGATCTAGGTCTGATCGCATACCGCACTTCCTGCGCTCTCTTTCTCCGCTAGTTGCCTCAAGATTCCCCAAACAGTGCTTGCACTTAAAGGGTTCTGGTTTGTCTCTTAAGATGCTGGGGCTGAAACTTGATCTGGCGGCCATGTCGCCGTCGCCGCCCCGTTGCCGCCTCGTCACCGCCCGTCGTCTGGGCCTGAAACTTGGTCTGGCGGCTATATCATCGCCGTCGCCGGCCCGTCGCCGCCTCGTCGCCATCCGTCGTCTGTCCCTTAAACTTGGTCTGGCGGCTATGTCGTCGCCGTCGCTGGCCCGTCGCCTCCTCGGCGCCTCCCGTTGTCTCGGCCTGAAACTTGGTCTGGCGGCTATGTCGTGACCGCTGCCGCCACGTTGCCGCGTCAGCGCCGCCTCGTCGCCTGGGCCTTGTTGCGCATGGCAATCCAGTCGGTTGCAGTGCAGTCGTTTGCAATGCAGTCGAGTGCAATCCGAACGGCTGCCATCGACTTCAAAGCATAGATGCCACCACATAGAATGCACCATGTGGCTCGCACGACTGCAATCCAGTCGATTGCAATCCAATCGATAGCAATCCAGCCGATTGCAAGTCAATTGGTTGCAATCGGTTCCAGTTTTTCCAGGAAAGGGCGCCGGCCCAGGGTTCTCTTTTAGGATGGTAATCTGTCCCCGGTGCCATGCGGGAGGTGGGCCGGCGGAATTCCGCTCGATAAAAAACAAGGTAAAGTCCACTTCGGCGTGACACAAATCCGTTTCGCGCGTGCCCGCTCGAGGAAAGTCGACCCCCCATCTCGGATCCTCGATAAATAACGGTGTCCGCGGACCACCGCTTTCCTTTGTGAAAAAGAAGGTGCGGGGCACTTTTAGCAGAATCCTTGAGAAACGAAGTCTGGAGCCCCGACCGCGACGCGGAAAAGCGCCCCGCGCGCAGGAATTCGGAGGATGTCTCGCGCGTGCCGCGTCCCGCGAGCAGGAATTTCGAGGATGTCTCGACTAATTCCAGGATTTAGCGTGAGAATGTTGAGTTTTTGCGTGCCCGCTCGAGGATGGTGCGCCCCCCGCGCCAAACATCGAGGATGTCTCGAGCGAAACGCTTGTTTGGCGGAGCGCGGACGCGGCGTAATTTACAAAGGATCGTAGCCCTTGGAGCTCGGACCACGCGTAATTTGCAAGGGATCGTGGCCCTCGGAGCGCGGGCGCAGTGTAATGTACGAGGGGTCGGGGCCTTGGGAGCTCGGACGCAATGTAATTTACGAGGGGTCGTAGCCCTTGGAGCGCGGGCACAGCGTAGAATATGAGGGGTCGGGGCCCTGCGGGCTCGGACGCAGCGTGATTTACGAGGGATCGTGGCCCTGGGAGCGCGGACGCAGCGTAATTTACAAGGGGTCGGGGCCCTGGGAGCGCGAGTCCAATGTAATTTACGAGGGATCGTGGCCCTGGGAGCGCGGACGCAGTGTAATCTACAAGGGATCGTGGCCCTGAGAGCGCGTCCCGTGGCACGTCCATTGGCACGTTCCGTAGCGCGTCCCCTCGGCACGTCCGGCAGTGCGTTCCCATGGCACGTTCCCTGGGACGTCGCCTGGCGCGTCTCTTGGGACGGTCCGCGGCGCGTCCTCCTGGCATGTCGCCCTGTCAATTAGCTCTGGGCCAGCTTCTAGTTATGTGCTGAGGCAGCTCGAGCTCAAGATCCAGATCAGTTCGGTCAGGACTCGGACGCAAAGGAGGACTCGATCCACAACGCTATAGACCACAATCGCGGCACGGCACATCGCAGTTCAGCACGGCGCAGCACAGCACAGACCTCGGCACGGTACACCAAGATCGATACATTCAGCATTGCAACCTGACACGTTCCGTGGCGCGTCCCGTGGCGAGCCCCTGGCACGTCGCGCGGCGCGTCCCCTGGCACGTCCCGTGGCACGTGCATTGGCACGTTCCGTAGCGTGTCCCCTTGGCACCTCTGCGGTGCGTCCCATGGCATGTTCCCTGGCACGTCGCCTGGCGCGTCCCTTGGGACGTTCGGCGGCGTGTCCTCCTAGCATGTCTCCTTGCCAATCAACTCTAGGGCAGCTACTATATGCTGAGGCAGCTCGAGCTTACGACCCAGATCAGATCGGTCAGGACTCGGATGCAAAGGAGGACTCGATCCACAACGCTATAGAGCACAATCGCGGCATGGCACATCGCAGTTCAGCACGGCGCAGCACAGCACAGCCCTCGGCACGGTACATCAAGATCGATACATTCATCATTGCATTTGCCCGTCGCCCAATCAGGTGTCTTTGAAACGTTACCATGTCTTACAGTTCTATATACCTTTCCGGGTTCGTGGGTCGATCATGTTGATAAGATCGGCGTCCTTTCACCCAGACAGTGTTTGCACTTAGGACTTTCTTATTGCTCCAAGGAACTCGGCATGAAACTTGGTCTGGCGGCTATAGCATCGCCGTCGCCGCATCGTCGCCATCCGTCGTCTGTGCATGAGACTTGGTCTGGCGGCAGTGTCGTCGCCGTCGCCGCCCCGTCGCCGCCTCGTCGCCTCCCGTCGTCTGGGCCTGAAGGTTGGTCTGGCGGCTATGTCGTCGCCGTCGCCGGCCTCGTCGCCGCCTCGTTGCCGCCCCTCGTCTTCCCCAGACCGTGTTTGCACTCTTGGGCTCTCTAAGGCATTGGGCCGTGTCTTTGGTCTGAGGGCTATGTGGCCGCCGACGCCGCCCCGTCGCCGCCTCGTCACCATCCTGGATTGCACAACGTAGATTGCATCGCATTGCACACAAAGAATATGAGTGCATCGAATAGGTTGCCCCACATAGAGTGCTCCACACAGCTTGCAAACCATAGTTTGCCCCGCACAGGTTACACCAGTTGGGTCGCACAACATATACTGCACCACAAAGAGTGCTCAACATTGGGATCTCCCCCCCCAGGGTTAACGGTCCACCTTTCGTATTGCAATTTGTTACGTATAATTCTGCCCCATCATCCATCTAAAATATGAGTTCATACCATCCGGTGCAAGCTTGAGTTCGTCCCCCTTCATCCTCTGCAGCAGCTGAAAACGCGCGCACTCGTTTATCAAGACCTTTCAGATTTCAAATCCCTTGCAAACAATGGGGCGAAGTGCGCACGTGCCTGTCGTCGCGCGCGCGTGCCAACATCCTTCAACAGCCGAAGCCTCGTAAGGATTCCAGAATTGAGCGGCATGAAGCATACTAAAGCATATAGCTTCGCAACACGATATTTCAAACAAGTATGCACTCGCACTCTTGTGCTAGTTGTTCAAGGTTCGACGTTTTTGTCATACAATGCTTCCAAAGTTGCCTCTAGCGCGCGTGTCGAAATCGTTCGAACGCCCTTGCTTGCGTGCGTGCTGTTGCAACAATCCATTGCGAGGAAAGGGCGAAATTCATACACGCGCGCGTCGTCGCGCGCGCATGCCGAAGTCCGACAAACACCTTCGGTTTCGCTTGGATTTCAAAATCGAGTATCCCGAAGACAAAAACATGGTTTTGCACCATCAGTGCCCCAACAAATATCCTGCGCTCGCACTCGTGCGGATTTGCAAATTCTGCTAGACGGGCCTTTCGCGCCGCACGTCGCAATCACATTCGAACGCCCTTGCGCGCCTTGGGGTAGGGGGGGGGGGGGCGATCCGTGTCACATGATACCACGCGGGCCACTCGCCGGCGCGAGGACATCGTCATCGTTTTCGGCGGGCGTGATCAAAATCGGCGCCGTCAGTGGCCTTGCCGTCGTCCTCGCCACCATCGTCACCATCATCGCTCATCCCATTCTACTGTTGTCAGCGTCGCCATGGTCTTGCGCCTTCCCCAGTCACCGACTCGCACTGAAGTGCCCGCTGGGGGTTGCCCAGCGGTCAGCGCCACCGCGGCCGCGTCGGTCGCGCCAAACTGGCTGGCCGTTGTGCGCGCGAGCATGCAAAGGCAAGCGCGCCCGCAGAGATGCACCAACCAACGCGGAACACTCACCGCAATCGCCGCCGCATGGGTTTCGCAGACCAAGTTGCGGGTGGGTGGGTGGGATGTTTGCAAACGCGCCGCATTTTTCACCTCGTTTGTAAAAAGTCAATTCTCCCCCGCTTTCTCGATCCACCTTTTCGTGTTGCAATTCATCAACGATTCTGCCCCACCGCCCATCCTAAGTCTGAATCCGTACCATCCCAGGCAGGCCTGTATCGACCCCCTCCGCCATTCTGCAACAAATATTATGCGAGCGTATTCGATTACTGACAATCATGAATTTCCAAGGATCTTGCAAAAACGAAGAACAAGTGCGCACGCGCGCGTCGTCGCGCGCGCATGCCGGAATCCTTCTAAAACCCCGGGTTCTGGACGGCATGTAGAATGTAGCGTTTAACAACATATAAAAAACACATGTTTTCGCAGGCGACACGGATTTTTGTGTTTGGAAAAGACATGCGCGCGCATTCTTGCGATTTGCTGTTCGAAAATCATACGTTGTTTTAATCATTTTCAGAACATGCTACCAAACAGGCTTCGCGCGCGCATGTGGACACCGTTCGAACGCCCTTGCGCGCGTACAGTCGCGAAAATCCGTGGCAACAAATGAGACGAAGTGCTCACGCGCGCGTCGTCGCGTGCGCATGTCGAAATCCTTCAAAAACCTCCGGTTTCGGAAGGGTTTCAAAATCGAGTTTCCAAGAACACATACAACAACACAGGGTTCCGCAACACTGATTTTTAAAACAGCTTACACGCGCGATCTTGCGACATCTCAAGGAAACCA